GGAGGGAAGGGCAACGCGACCTCCACGACTCGTTCCTCTTTCCTTGGCTGCACCGACGTTTACCTCTCTCGACCCTTTTCTCTCCCATTTTTTCCGTCAGCTATTTGGCTCATGGAGCTTTCTCCCCCAGGCCTTGGGGCCCCTCCAGGCCACGAGGACTTGCGCTGTCTGAGCCTGGTCTTAGAGGTCCCGCCCCGAGGGCCTGAGCCCAACGTTCGTCGCCCGACCGACCGCCGCGGCCCACGGCGGCCGATGGGTGCCCATGATATCAGCCCAGGTCTTCCGAGGGCCAGGATATTTGGCCGCTGGGTGCCCGATCGACGGTGGATCAGGACGGCGCGGCGCGGAGCTTTTCCTGCGCCCAGTTGGGCGCCTGATCTCATCGCAGTGGTCCGCGCCCCTGGCCCCGCCAGGCGGCTTTGCCCCCCTGGGCGGGGACCGTGGCCCCCAGCGCGGATCATCGACGCTGGGTGGGTGCCGCGGCACCCCGTGGAGGTCAAGCCGAATTTGCCCCGCGGTGTCCGCTTGATCTGGCAGAGCGATGGCCAGAACAAATCATTGTGGCACAAGCGCGCGAGGGAGCTGCCGTACCGCTTCTACTTCATCCTCGCCCCCGAGCCGTAGATGCAGCGAAGGCGGCTTGATGCAAACATGAACCTGGAGCTCTTACCACCCTTGGATGTCATCTTGGGCTGTGCGCGCGCTGTCCAGAGGGAAACAATTGTTTGGACCACCTATAGCCCTACAGGGCTGGTGGGATTCCATATGCCCCATCAAACAGGATTCCAATGTGTGAAATCCAAAAAAGACGAGATCGTGCGAATCAGGGTTCAATCTAGATATATATATACACACACGTACACACATACATATATATATATATATATATATATATATATATATATATACATATATATGTGAAATCCAAAGAACAAAACAGGCGAATGTGGGTGTTCCAGAATTCCAAATCCAAACCGAACAATTCGCGAATGTTGCAGCCCCCCCTATGTTGGATTTGCGCGCGCGCATCTTTGCCATCGCCTTCGGCAACATCGAATTGTGAAATTAAGAAAAACCAAGCATGCGCATGTATGGGTTTACACAACATAGGTTCACAACGAGCAGACACATAACACTGAAATCGATGAGATGAGGAATCTAGTTGCGCGGTTTACAGATTTACAACTACTTAAAAACCCGATTTACAACTACTTACCACCCTGCTATGATCTATTCACAACCCAGTTATGCTAGTTATAACTACTTAGAAGCAGGCCGTAACCAGCATACGTACTTATAACCAGCATAAGTACTTATAACCAGCCCCGCCGCGCCCAAAACCACGAACCCGGGAACCCGGCCTGCTACCAAAATCGGCGGGAAACTTTCGCCAAGTTCTTCCACTTCCGCTAGGACCCCTTCCGCCCTTGCCTCGTGCCCTCGTGCCCAGAGATCCGCGGCTCCAGCAGAATTGGAGCGGGGTGGGTTTTTGGCCGTTTTCGGCCTCCTGGGTGCCCTTTGCCGCGCTTCGGGAGCGTTCAGAAACCAGTTCGGGGCGAAGATCTGGCCCAGTCCTTGGCCGCGGCAGCAGATCATGGGAGCATCGTGTACCCTCGTAATCCAGACCTCCTCGGATCACGAGGAGATCACGACGCGAGGTTTTTCTGTGTTTTCGGCCTCCCGGAGCCCTTACAGGGCTTCGGGGCCGTCAAGAAATTACTCAGGGTGGACAGCCGGTCCCGGGGAAGGGGTCCAGACTCCTGGTGGTCGTGTCGCGAACAAATCATGACGTCAGAGGTCTGGGAATTCCGTCTTTAGAGTGCGCCAGCGTCGATGAGCATTTGGTAATCAATGAGATCACGCCGATTCAGCGTCAATTGCCGTCGATTAGTGTAGACTTGCGTCGATTAGCGTCTATTCGTAAGAGCTCGCAAGATGGTATGGGAGGTGGGAGGGTCTCATGAGTTGCCGCAGAAGTCGAGTACGCGCGAGAGCGACCCTTCGGGGGAGTGAACTTTGGTGCAGGCCCACAGGGGTCTCTCCAACACTTGCTTGCGCGCCTGGATTTAGACCCTCCTGGCCTCAGAGGGGCCGCGCACCAAAAGGCCACTCCTGCCCCGGAGCCGCTCCTGCGTGCGGCCGAGGTCAGGACGCAAAAGCGCGGACCACTTGGTCAGGCGATCGCAACACATGGATCAATGGGGGCGTGGATCAGCGACGGGCCCCGTTCCCGTGGGAAGTCGCGGGCTCCCGCCGCCAAGCGAGGCGGCACCAGCCGCATCTTGGGGAGGGCACCTCCCCTGATCCATGGATCTGGCGACCGCGCGCCAGATCCACGGATCGCTAGTCCATGTTTGCGCGCCCCCGATGGCATCAGGACCACTTCGGGCACAGGAGGGGCTATGGTTTTTCGCGTCGTGCCTCAGATCCAGGTCGGGACCTCTTCGTGGCCGAGGCGCGCCCCGGCCAGGCGAGCTCCTTCGTTCCTGAAGCTCTGCTTTCCCTGTGATGGCACGAGGACCGCGTGGGGCCCGTGCGGGGCCGCTGCTCGCCGTGGCACGGCCCCTTCGCTCCCTTTCGGCGGGTCCGCGTCGCGTCGGCCGGCGGAGGCCCCAGCGCGGGCGTTTAATCGGGCGTTGCTAGAAGTACCCCCGGCCCAGGGTGCCCCCAGGATTCTCGGGGTGGCCCACACGGCCTCCGGGGCACCCCTCACGAGGCCCAGAGGGCCTCCGGGGCTCCAAACTGGAACGAAAAGCTGGGGGCAGCTCGAGCCAGGGGCACTTCTAGCATTTTCTCTGGGTGGAAAGCAAAGGGCGAAATCTGAAATGCCGTTTCGGCCTGAGTCTGCAAAAGGCGAGTCACAGGACGGATTGGTTTTCGAGGTGCAGAAGCCCATATGTATTTACCCTGAGCCCTCCACCCTAAGAGAATGCTCAGAGGTTAAACGCCGCCAGTGACCCAGAATTGGCCCATCCTCGAACGATCTGGCGTTCACTGAGCGGCCGATCGTTCAAGTTCTAGCGATCCCCGCGTTGTCAGAAACCAGCGCCGGGGTCGACACGACGCGAACCTGCCGTACTCGAGCGTTCCTTGTGGTAGCACGATGGCTGTAAATTGAGCCCCGGAGTAGTATCCCCCCCCCGTTGTACTACTCTTCCACCCGGGGATTGTCGGTCGTCGGTCGTCGTCGAATGTCGTTGTCGTCGTCGATGTCGTTTTCGTCGTCGTCGTCGGCCATCGGCCATCGGATCGGCTATCGGCCATCGGCCATCGGCCATCGGCCATCGGCCGTCGGCCATCGGCCGTCGGCCATCGGCCATCGGCCGTCGGCGTCCGTCATCGTCGTTTCGCTGTCGCGCTGTTCTTCGCCTGGAGTCGCTGGCGATCTGCGGTCGCCGAAGCAGATCTTTGTGCGCCCAAGGGTGCTGTGACTGTTCTTTCGCCTACACTGCCTGCAGGTCTCGGAAGTGGCTAGGAATAGGATCAATCCGTTCCAGAGCGTTCCGAACTCTCTCAGAGCGTTCTGGAACTCTCAGAAGGCCGCGGCGCTCGCGTGACATCCTCCAGAGCCGCTGGTTCTCACAGCTTCCCGATGTATCCTCATCCGATTTTGTCCTCGCCATGGCTTCGTCTTGAGACCGCTTCCTTGCGTATGCATCCGCATTCCGCACACCAGCTCATCCGTGGACACGGCCCTCCGGGCACAACAAAGAATCACGTTCACCGCGTATCTACATATCTAGTCGGTCTCCTAGTGAGTCAGAAGCTGTCCGGCGAGCGTGGCCGGAATTCGGCCAGCAGAGGCGACAGCAGGAAGCAGAGAGGGGCACCCAGAGGGGGGCACCTGGAGTTTGCGCGGAAGCCTCAGGGGACCCAGAGGAAGGCAGGGGACGCCAATGCCCAACAGCTTCGAGCCCCCTCCTCGACCCTCTCCCTCCCTCCTCGTCCCCCTCCTCCTGCTCCTCCTGCTCCTCCTCTCTCCGAGCTTTTTCTTTGGGTGGAGGGCAAAGGGTTAAATCTGAAATGCCGTTTCGATGGATTTTCGAGGCTTGAATCTGCAAAAGGTGAATCACAATACGGATTGGTTTTTGAGGTGCAAATGCCCATACGGATTTCACCCTGAGCCCTCCACCCTAAGAAAATGCTCAGTCTCTTCCCCCTCCCCTGTCACCGATTCGGACCTGCGTTTCTCCCGCTTCTGGCGGCGGGACTCCTCAGGAGCCCTCGCGCCTTCTGGGAACTTTTCTGCGTCTTCGGGGAAGGCCTTAGGAAACTTCTCGGAAGGCCGAGGAGCTTCCGAGCCTTCTGAGAAGGCCCGCCCCATCTCCATTCCCCCCCCGGGTTCGCCGTCGATAACTTGGTATTCTTGGATGCCCAGAGCCTAATCTGCTTTCGGCGCCTTCCTATTTCAAGAGTCGAGCGCTTGTCCTTCTTCTCTCGTCTTCAGGGGGCGGGCGAAAGCCCAATCTGGTTTCAACGCCTTCCTACATGTTTCTGCGCACTTATTCTGACCATGTCCGCGCGGATTTTCGTTGGGGGCCAGCGCTGGGCCGCCCCCTGGCTGCGCCCACGGCGCCGACCCTGACACGAAAACCCTGGCGCGCGCAGCGCCGATCCTGGCGCGCAAGGCGCAAAACTCCCGAGAACCTCCCGAAATTGTTATTCGCTTGCAGCTCCGTGCCTCTCCATCAGAGCCCCCCCCCAGTCCTGGGCAGGGCCGTCTTGGCCACGACGACGTCCTGGGCAGGCCCATCTTTGGCCCCGCATCGGTGCCCGTGCCCCCCCGCGGCCTGGCCTGGAGGGCGTCTGTACCGATCGGGCGGGCCCGGCCAGGCCCGGAGTTGGGAGTAGTAGGAGGAGGAGGAGGAGGAGGAGGAGGAGGAGGAGGACGAGGAGGAGGAGGAGGAGAAGGGGTGGAGGAGGAGGAGGAGGAGGAGGAGGACGAGGAGGAGGAGGAGGATGAGGAGGAGGAGGAGGAGGAGTGCACAGCTGCCGTCCAGGTGCCCGGCGCACGCCACCGCGCTCGCCCTGCCCGCTGCTGATCTTCTCGGGCACGAAGACCAGCCTCCCTGTCCTCCCGGGAGCGACTGCTGGCGAGGACCGGTACCCGCGCCACGGCCGCCAGTGCAACTCTCCCTCCCCCTCTCAGGGACGCGCTGACTAGTCAGCACAAGCAAGACCGGAAGACTTCTGGGCTCTCCAGAAATCAGTTCCCCAGTCTGTTGCCGACTGGTTTGCGCGATCTCATAGAGGGGATGTCCTCGATCTGATACGGTCTCACATGCACACTGACCAGTCAACACAAATCAGTCACGAAGCTTACTCCTAATCATCAGTGCCTTTCCATTGAGCTTGCTACCTGGCCTGTGCTGACCAGTTTGCGCGCCCGACCCTATCGAAGGGTCAAATAGTAGCATCAGCATAGACTCTCGGAGGTCCGCGCAGACCTCCGAAAGTTTATGACTATGCGTTTATGTGATCTTCCTCGTTTCCCCCCCTCAGGAAGAATACGCGGGAAAAGGGCAGGGAGGCTGGATCCCTTCCTGCCTCGCCTCCCGATGCCCAGAGGCCCCCCTCAGGTCCGCTGGAGATGGAGGAGGATGAGGAGGAGGATGAAGATGAGGAGGATGATGATGAGGAGGAGGAGGAGGACGAGGATGATAATGATGTTGTTGTTGATGATGATGGTGATGATGATGATGATGCTGATGATGATGATGATGAATATGATGATGAATATGATGATGACGATGATGCTGGTGATGATGATCATGCTGATGATGATGATGATACTGATGGTGGTGATGATGATCATGCTGCTGTTGATGAGTATGATGCTGATGATGCTGATGATGACGATGATGGTGATGATGAACATGCTGATGCTGATGACGGTGATGATACTGCAGATTATGATGACGAGACTGCTAGTGATAATGATGGTGATGATGATGATGATGATGATGACGATGATGTTGATGATGATGATGATGACGATGATGATGATGATGGTTGTGCTGATGATGATTGTGATGAATATGATGGTGTTGATGATGCTGATGAAGATGGTGATGATGCTGACGATGCTGATGATGGTGTGGCTGTTATTGTTGATTATGATGATGCTGATGATCATGATGATTATTATGATGATGCTGGTGATGATGCTGACGAGGATGCTGCTGTTGCTGATCGTGATGCTGCTGATGATAATGTTGATGCTGATTATGATGATGATGATGCTTATGATGATTTTGGTGGTGGTGATGAGGATGAAGATGAGGATCATGCTGAGGATGATGATGTTGATGATGGTAGTGGTGATGATGATGATGATGATGATGATGATGATGATACTGATGATGGTAATGATGATTATGATGATGATGATGATGATGGTGATGATGATGATGATGGTGATGATGATGATGACGATGCTGATGATGGTGGTGATGATGATGGTGATGATGATGATGGTGATGATGATGATGGTGATGATGTTGATGATGATGATGATGATGATGCTGATGATGATGATGATGATGGTGATGATGGTGCTGCTGAAACTGATGATGCTGATGATGAGGCTAATGCTGATGCTGATGCTGATGCTGATGCTGATGCTGATGCTGATGCTGATGCTGATGATGCTGCAGCTGATGCTGATGCTGATGCTGATGCTCCTGATGGTGATGAGGAGGAGGCGGAGGAGGAGGAGGAGGAAGAGGAGGAGGAGGAGGACCAGTGCAAGCCCAAGACGCACCAAAGGAGGAGGAGGAGGAGGAGGAGGAGGAGGAGGGGGAGGGGGAGGAGGAGTAGGCGCGATCGGCAAGGTCCGCCCTCCGCCGCACCAAAGGCGGGCGGCGGCGGCGCCTAGGTGCGGCGCCTCGCCACTGCGGCCAAGTCGCGCGCGACAAAGAGCCAGCACACGTTAAGCATACTCGGCTACGGTCAAGTCGGGCATGTCCCTCTACAGGAGGAATCTTCAAAGATTGGCAGAAAGTCAGGGGACGATTTTTTAGTATGTTTGACTACGTTTCGGTATGTTTCGAGTTTTTCTATTTTTCGTCCAAAATCCGCCTGTAGCCCCGAGACCCACCATCGCCAGGCCCCAGTACGGGCGCGTGCCAAGACCCGCCCGCGCTGCGCAACGCAGGCTGGGTCTGTCACACCTGCGCCAGCCGCTGGAGACCAGCTCTCGGGATCTGACCGGAGGGTAGGGGAGCGCACCCCTCGAGACCCCCTCTGGCGTGACGGCCAACGGTCTGCGGAAGGGCCCGGATGCTTCTGTCCCCAGCAGCCACGGCGGCCCTCCTCCAGCGGACGCCGAGACCATCTCGGTCATCTCCGACGCCGTCAGAAACGAAACCCAGGATTCCAGGATGCTTTCAACAACATCGCCCTCCAGAGCGATCACTGCCCGTCGGCAGAAGCCCAAATGGGCGTCAGCCGATCCACTGCGGGCACTTCCGCAGAGGGGGGGCCCAGGGCGCCCTCGCGGGCTTGGGCCCCCCGAGGCCAGCAGGCCCGCTGCTGCAGGACCAGGCGCCAGCCACAGGACACCGCCACGAGCCCGCGGGCCCCGGCCCTCCGCGACGCCTCGGCCAGGTGCCGCGGTGCTGGACCCGCGGACTCTCCCAGAAGGGGCTGGCCCCCGTCAAGTTCGGCACCGCTGCCGCGCGCCGCAGAGGAGGCTGGGGCGCCTCCAGGAGCCAGGGAGGAGTCAGGGCGTGCCCTCCCCTTGAGGAATTCCCTTCGCAGACGGTCCGTTAACATTGGGACTAGACAGAGGAGATCAGCATGGCCCCTGCGCAAGGATGACGTGCACAAGGCGAGAAGTGCATAGGATGAAAATGGGTCGGCGACGCGCGAGGATTTTGCCCCCCCCTTGGTCCCCCGCCCTCTTGCTAGCTGCCCCTGTCTTGCGCTTGCTCGTGGCAGACCTCCACCGAGAGTCGGGCCGAACGAAAGGGTGGGATAGGGAATGGGGGGGGGTACGAAATCTGCTGCATGCAGCTGGTTTCGACCCCGCCGCCGGGCCCATGCCTCGATACACGGCCGCCTCAGGCGCCGGGAGGCGCCGGGAAAATGCTGATTCTCGCCCCCCCCCCTTTGCTATCCCCCCCTCTGGCCCGGCCTGAGAGAGGTCGACACGTCGGGGACCTCCTCGGCGCGTCGGTCCGGTGCCGCGTCCGCCGGCCAGCTCGGCGCCCGGGCAGGCGTCGGCGCCGCGGCCCGCGTGCCGCCGCGCCAGGCGCACCCGGCCCTCGGCCACGGCTCCGGGCCGAGGGAAGGCTCCGGAAGCTTAGCTGCAGAGATCCAACGTGTTGAAAAAAAAGAAAGACGGAGGTTTTTCGCCAATTTCGGCCCTATAGGGGCACTCGCTGGGCCTCGGGACCGTCAGAAAACGACTCAGGATGAAAAACCGGTTCTGGGGATCGGGTCGACACTTTTGGGGACCGCGTATGGAAAAAATCACGACATCGTATCTCTGGGGATACGCACGTTTTGAAACGTAACACGTGCCGTGTTCAAAGCGTCCCTGTTCAAAACGTACGTGTTCATTCTACGTGTTGAGCTCCGTGTCAATGCGTTGCGTGTTGCGTGTTGCGTATCGGGGCAGCTAAGTCCGGAAGTCGATTGCACGTAAGAGTGGCCTTTCGCCAGAGTGACCCTGGGTGCGGGCCCAAGATGGGTCGGGCGGGTGGCAATGGGGGTTGGCCGAAATGGGGGGTGAGGAAAGAGGCCCCAAAGGGGCCCGTTAGGGCCCCTTTTGGAGCCAGTTGGTGCCCAAAAGGGGCCCTAAAGGGCCACTTTACGGCCTTTTTCTTCACCCCCCATTTGGGTCACCCCCCATTGCCACCCGCCCAATATGGGCCCCCCGATCGCTGAATGCGGTGCGACGGCAGTGGCCTGCGCGCTGGGCGGTGTCCACAGGCATGAGCTGGTTTCGCCGCCGCTGGTTTCGTCCCGCTGGTTTCGCTGGCGGTTGGTTTCGCCGGCGGCTGGTTTCGCCGGCGCTGGTTTCGCCGGCGCTGTTTTGGCTGGCGCTGGTTTCGCTGCCGCCGTCGCCGTCGCCGTCGCCGTCGCCGTCCCCGTCGTCGTCGTCGTCGTGGTCGTGGTCGTCGTCGACGTCGTCGTGGTCGTGGTCGTCGTCGTCGTCGTCGTCGTCGTCGTCGTCGTCGTCGTCGTCGTCGTCGTCGTCGGGCGTCGGGCTTCGGACCCGAGCGGGCGGGTCGGGTCGGGCGTGCCGACCCAAGCGGGCGGGTCGGGTCGGGCGGGCGAGACATTCGAACCCTACCGGGCGGGTCGGGTCGGGCGGGCGGGCCCTGGCGGGCGGGTCGGATCGGGCAGTTTCGCCGGCGGCAGCTGGTTTCGCCGACGGCAGCTGGTGTCGCCGACAGAGGCTGGTTTCGCCGACGGCAGCGGGTTTCGCCAGGCGGCGAAACCAGCCGGGCGAAACCAGCCGGGCGAAACCAGCCGGGTGAAACCAGCCGTCGGCGAAACCAGCGGAAGCCTCCACACAAAGGGCCCCCCCTCAGGCCGGGCACCAAAGGTCGTTCTTGCCTGGGGTCACTCTTGCGCGCAGCCGAGGAAGATCCGCATCAGTTGTTGGCAGGGGCTGGGCCGCTCCGGTCTTGATGCGGCAGTCCCAGGCCCCCTCGCGTTGTGAACAGACATCACGGCGGGAGGCGCTTCGTTGATGCTCTGCCTCTGTGGGTCCGCACCGGGCCCAGGGACAAGGAGGCCTACGACGCCGATGAGGACGCTGCTGGCGCAGCAGACAGCCCAATGGTTGCCGCCGAGGTGGCTGGTGCCGAGGGCGAAAAGGGCGCCGACCCGGCTTCGACGCGCTGGCCTCATGGCGCCAACCTACGCGCCCGCAAGCACGCGATTCGGAAGGCCATGGCAACCGCGGCAGCCGCAGCCGCCCTGGCAGAAGAGGGGATGACCCTGGCAGACCTTCAGAGGCTTGCTCTAAAGCAGGGCCAACTCTGCGCTCGAGGCCATCCAAGCACAGTCCCAGGAAGCCGAGCCTGAGACAGGGGACCCCTGGGGCCAGTGCCGGCCAAGCGGAGGCCCTCGGCGCCAGGCGACGGCTAAGTCTGGAGGCACCTGTGAATGATTCGGGCAGGAGGAGGAGGAGGAGGAGGAGGAGGAGGAGAGCGAGGAGAGGAGGAGGAGGAGGAGGGGGAGGAGGAGGAGGAGGAGGAGGAGGAGGAGGAGGAGGAGGAGGGGCGCGAGTGGGCCGTCTTCCACGCGCAGGATCCCGTGAAGGAGAGCCAGCACGCCATCATGTCTGTGGGCTTCGGCCTGTCCCCCAGCCCCGGGGGCGACCTGTCGGGCTCGGACTCAGCCTGCTCCAGCAAGCGGGCTCTTCCTGTTCATCCTTCTTCTTCTCCTTGTCCTCCTCCTCCTCCTCCTTCTCCTCCTCCTCATCCTCCTCCTCCTCCCCCATCTCCTCCTCCTTCTTGCTCTCGTCCTTCTTCTCCTCCTCTTTCTCCTCCTCCTCTTCCTCCTCCTCCTCCTCTTCCTCCTCCTCCTCCTCATCCGCCCTCTCTCCTCCTCCTCCTCCTCCTCCTCCTCCTCCTCCTTCTGGCTCTCCTTCTCTTCTCCTCCTCCTCCTCCTTCTCCTCCTCCTCCTTCTCCTCCTCCTCCTCCTCCTCCTCCTCCTCCTCCTCCTCCGGGATCCAGCAAGCGGGCGCAGCGCGGCGCTTTTGGATGATTTCTAATTGTACTTCTCATCATCCTCCCTTCTGGGGCGACCCAAAGTGGGGTAATGACCAGGGGGGAGATCTCATCGTCGGGACAGGATCTCTAACATATTTCTTGGCAACACACCCGTCCGCGCACATGTCTGGAGCCATGCCATTTAGACGGCCCCCTCCCGGACGCCCCCTGCGCTTGATGGCGTGCCCCACCACCTCTTCCATGCAGGCCACTGTCCAGGGATGATCAGAAGTAAGAGAAAGTCGTGCAAGCAAAACCTCTCGGCCGCGCAGATTTCCTTCAGGAGCAAAAGAAGTACGTATACGTTCATAAGTAATTACACGTTGGTTTCGAGAGTACGCATTGCGCGGGCGTTCGCATCACGCGACTGTTCTCGCGGACTGGGGGTCGTGTTCATGTACGTAGTTTGGGCGCGTGCATGCTTTGTGGGCTCCCTACTCTGGGGTCGGTACTGGTCCCCCTGGCGGCGCCTCCGGCACCCCCTGGTGGTGCGATTCGCGCGCCTGGGAACAGGGTGCATCGCCGACCTAGGAGATCCGCGCGGATCTCAGAGGGTTTGTGCTGATGCCGCTTGTGGTTCTTCAAACGATGCGTCTCCGAGCTTGAGATTAGAGAGTTCTCGAGCGGGACGCCGTAAAACAGGGGGACCACACCACCAGGAGGAATCCCGCTGGCTCCTCGCGATGGTCTACTGGTGGTGCCCGCTTTCAGTTATCCTCAAGGGGCGGGGCAAGCGGGCTTGAGTGCTCTAATACATCAGGGTGTGCTTCTTAGAAGCTCGGAGGCTTCTAGGCAAGAGGGCTCCTTGGAATGCAGAGCGCTTTGCAGAACCTCCTTGGCTGCTCACAAGTCAGTACCGTTTTACCGACCCCTATCCTGATCCCCATCCCAATCCAGACCCCCACCATCTCAGCACCCAGGTTAGGGATGTACCCTTCGAAACCCGAAGAAAACAGCCTGTATCCTCATCTAGGGGGGTAAATCGGCCTGTGGGGCCCAGGCCACGCCAGAGGGGATTGGGATCGGTTTAAAGATGCTCAACAAGGCCATCCCCCTCCGCCAACCCTCCTGCAGGCGGTCGTCGGACCTGAAGGAGGTTACCCGGCGCGCGCGCCCGATGCACTCCCCGGACTTCCTGCGCGCGACGGTCGCCGGCTACGGGGACACGGAAGATGGCACCGGCAGCTGGAGGCCGAGGATCTCGTGCAGCTCGGCCTGCAATGGGGTCCTGGAGGGACGAGGTCGGCTACACCTAAGAGTGACCCGTCGCCGGAGTGCATCTGGTGCGGGCACACCGGGGCACCCAGATGACTGAACGCGATGCGACAGCAGCAGTTCCTGTTCTCGGGTTTGTCTCCCCCACGCGCCCCCGAAAGTCGTGCACCAAAGGTCACTCTTGCCTGGGGTCACTCCTGCGCGTAGCCGAGAGGGGGGTCTCGAAGTTTTTTCGTCGTCTTCGGGGTCGGTGGAGTCCCTCCGTTTCCATCACCATCTTGCCGTTTCCGTTGTCCCCGGGGGCCGTCTCGGGACATCTTTCAGCGGCTGGAACTCGACAATCAGCCTCAAAGTGGTGCAGCTGAGGCCCCGAGGTGCGCTTTCTGTGGGCGAGGCGTAGCACAGGAGCCAATCCAGCAAATGGCGAATGGCACGTTTTTTATCCTCGTTTCGGGGACTTCCCTGTGGGCCCACCTAGCGGATGTGTCCGATTCTAGTGTGACTCTGTTTCGACTCTGGTTCGACTCAAGTTCGACTCAAGTTCGACTCAGGTCGAGGGATGTTCGACGCAGCATCGACGCAGAAGTGGAGCGACTGTCTCCAGGACGGCCCCCAGAACGAGCATCTAACGTGCCACCTCCAAGGATCTTCCAGTGGTGGGGCACCGTGTGGGCGCTCTTCGTAGTGTGCTCGGTGCTCTTCCCTCTGGCGGGGACTCTGGAGCCGCGGCCGCTGCCACCGGTGGTGGCCGCGGCGGTGGAGACTGCGATCGAGGCGGTGTTTGCGATCGAGCTCACGGTACGCCTCGTAGCCAGCCAGGGCAAGAGGGGCTTCATAAGGAACCCGTTCAACGTCATTGATTTGCTGTCAGTGCTGCCCATTGTGCTCCGAGCACTGCTCGGCTTCGTCCTTCCGGAGCGCCTGGATGCCGACGAAGTGCCAGAGGTCGTGCTGATATGCGTCGTGCCTGTGCTGCGCCTGGCGAAGGTGCTGCGGAGGGACTTTGTCCAGATCAAACTGTTTGAGAGAGTCTTCAGTTCGACCATGGAGACGATGCAATTCTTGGCCCTCGTCGGCGGTATTATAGTTCTGACCTTCGCGTTTTTGGTCTTTGTGACGGAGCCCCGAGACAACGTCGACACCTACTGGCGGGCGCTCTATTTTGTCATCGTTACCATGAGCACCGTTGGCTACGGAGACGTGAGCCCCGTGACCGACGAGGGCCACGTGGTCATCTCCGTCCTTATCATGAGCAGCATCCTCTTCATGGCGATCCCGGTGGGCGTCCTTGGCAACGCGTTTGCGTTCGCTTGGTCGGACCGCGACCTCATCATGCTGATCGAGCAGACGCGCCAGCAGATCTCGGGGTGGGGGTACCAGCCGACAGACCTCCCCAAGTTCTTCCTCCTCTTCGACGCCGACAACGACGGGGAGCTGAACTTCGACGAGTTTCTGAACATGATGAGCGCGCTGACGATCAACCTCAATGGGGACAGGATGGTGAACCTTTTCCAGCTGTTCGACCGGGACAACGGGGGCACCATCGACCAGATGGAGTTCCTCCGCGCCGTCTACCCGCACGCGTTCCACCAGATCCTCAACGAGGAGAAGGCGGAGAAGGAGAGGAAGGAGAAGGAGGAGAAGGAGCAGCGGCGCCGCATGAAGAAAGAGCGCCAGGAGCGCCAGCGGAAGCTGCGGGCCGAGAAGCAGTCCACTGCGGAGGAGCTGGGCATGGTCTTAAGTCCTGGCCTCCCCTCTACGTCTCCCTCTCTCTCTCTCTCTCCCCCCCTCTCCCACCCCCAGAGCTCCAACGTCCCCTGGCGGCGCGCACACGGGGGAGGCGCGAGCCTTGTGAGAAGGCGGGGCCTCTCAGAGGGCAGGCCGGGTGCCTCCTGCGAGGCGCCCGTGCGCTCGTCAGAAGGCGTCTCGAACGTTGGGAGCGCTCCTCTTAGCGAGCCGCCTGTCGTCTCGGCGGCCACCCCGCCGTCTCGGCAGGCCGCCCCCTCGCCTCACCCCTTTGGCGCGCGCCGCTGGGTGCGGAACAGACATCCAGGCGGCGCTGTTCGGCCTCTTGTGGCTTCCTGGGGACCTCTTCCCCGGTCGCGGAGCTGTCGACGAGCGATCAGGGGTAGTTTAGGAGCACGGCTTCGGAGAAGGGGTGGGGAGTTCCAGGAGCGGTGTATGTAAGGAGCACGGCGCCAGATGTCCGGGACCCTTCTTTCTCGTCGCTCATCCTCCCAGCCCCTGGTTTGAAGCAAACGGCGCGGGCCAATCTCACGTGTTGTGTAAAAAAACTCTCGCGAAACCATTTTAGTGCAGAAGCCGAACATGAAGCCAGTGGCGCTCTTGAGGCGCGACTTCGTCCGCCAGTATGTCTCTGCAGACCATCTCCTTCTGCAGACCAGCCCCGTCACCTTCTGGAAACCCCTTCCGGGCATCTTAACCTGCCCATAGCGGGGAGCGGCGAGGGATCGTCACAGACGAGCCACCAGATCGGGCATCGAGAACAGAACAGCGCCGTGACGAGGAGCACACTTGGTGCCCTAGACCTTGCCTTCTGCGGCATCTCTCGAGCCACGTCGATCCATGAGGGTCCCCAGGGCCTCCACCGAAGCGGGGCGGCACCGTTGTTTCCACGACGCCCAGATCTGAGGGAGGGGGGCGGTGGGCCCAGGCCTCCCAGATGGGGTCGGAGTAGTAGCCAGGGTCGGTGGATCGCACCGCATCGCCGATGCGTCGTCGATGCGGCACCGTAGTTTCCTCAATACGCCCGCGTCGAACCGCAACACTTACCGTGCTAAAAGCGTCCGTGTCAATTCGTTGCGTGATGGTTCAGCGTATATTGGTCTACGTTTTGGCGCCCGTGTCGCGTCTTACCTATGTTTTCAGTCTACATGTTGAGCTCCGTATCCAGACGCTACGTGTTGCGTGTTGCGTGTCGGGGCAGCCAAGTGCGGCACACTCTGGAGCCTAACATTTTCCAAGCAGGAGTGGCTGATGCATCGGCGATGCGGTGCGATCTCGCGGCCCAAGCTACACCCTAGCCCCATAAGGGAGGCTGCCAGGAAGTTCGTCATGTCAGGGGGGCGGGAATGGGGATGTCACCAGCGGGGGCGAATGGGCGAAGACCAACGGCAGCTCGGGCCCACTTCGAGCAGGATTCGCTGCCGGTGCCGCCGCAGACGTTGTCCGTTCGGGACGAACGCCGCCTGCCCGACAAGGGCCGCTGTCGGTCCTGGGCAACACTTACTTCTGGCCATTGCCCCCACCCCTTCCGGCCCTCTCTTCGGTGGTTCAAAGATGGGGTCCTGAGGGATGGGGTCCTACGGACGAGGTGCCTCAGACAGCGTAAAATCCACCCCTGGAACCCTTCCTATCCTTAGGCCCCCATCCCTTAGGACCCCATCCTCGAACTGCCGATCCCTCGGGGGCTTTGCCGAAGCTTGCCCCCGCCCCGAGGAGCAGACCCGAGGCTCCTTGACCAGCCCCGGGCTCATGAGCCCGCGGCCGGGGTCCGACGACTGGCCGGGCCTCGCCAGCCCGCGGCCGGGGTCCGTCGACTGAGCTCCGGGGCAGCGTGAGGGGGAGACAGGCTCCTCCTCCTCCTCCTCCTCCTCCTCCTCCTCCTCCTCCTCCTCCTCCTCCGCCTCCGCCTCCGCCTCCTCCTCCTCCCCCAACCGCCCAGTGATCGCTCAGGCCCGCCCAGGTCCGTGCGGATGTGCCATCAGGGGCCTATCGCCGATCTCTCGGCGATGTCTCGCCAGTTCCAGGTCGACGTTTCCCCCGGTGGTCTTCGGGTCGGCGCGGGTCTCCGGCGGCAGTGAGGGACGATCCAGGCGGCCCTGCAGACGCCCCTCGGCGAGGGGCAGCCGCTGGAAGACATCCCGGGGCTGGAGCGAGAACCGGCGAAAACGCCAGAACACCTCGAGCCTCGACCCTCGAACCCGAACTGTACCCCCCTGTCGGTGCCCCTCATGAGCGCGTCCCCCGCGCCCACGGGTGCGCGCGTCGGCCGCCGGCCGGCAGGGCACCGCGGAGTGTGCGCGGCCCTTCGGGCTCGGCACGGCCCGCGCGGGCTGCGGGGTGGTGGTGCTGGTGATGATGGCGATGACGACGACGATGGTGACGACGACGGCGACGGTGATGGCGACAATGATGGCGATGATGACGTCGACGACGCGGAGGCGGAGGACCACTGACATCGACGATGGTGGTGGAGGCGCGGGGAGGACAACGAGGCGAGGAGGACGAGGAGGAGTCGCTGTGAGCGCCTCCCCGCGGCCGGGGAGCGGGGAGGCGCGGGGAGCAGGACGACGAGGCGAGGAGGACGAGGAGAAGTTGCTACGAGCGCCTCCCCGCCTCGGGGGCCGCCCTCTCTCTCTCTCTCTTTCTCTCTCTTTCTCTCTCTCCGAGCTCGCCGCTTTTCCAGTCCACGCCGAGGCCCGCGGCCGCCCGAAGGAGGCAGGCCAACGGTCTCTCGGGAGTGGCCCCCCCCGCGACGCGACTCGCGGGACGGGGGGCAGGGCGTCGAGGCGCTGGGGGTCTGAGGTGGCCCAGCACTGGCTCCAGAGCCAGCAGGGAGGGAGGGCAGGCTCGAGGTTCTGGGTGCGGGGAGGCGTGTTCCTCTTTCCTTGGCCTCCGGGGGCCGTTTCTGGGCCTGGGGCCGTCAGAGAGGGATCCGGGGTGAAAAGTTACAGATGGACCCAGGGGCATGGCGTCGAGGACCGAGGGAGATGTTTGCTGAAAATCCTGCGGCTCCTGCTCATGCGGGGCCAAACAATGTGCGTCACGACCATCACCTCCCTCACCCCCCCCCCCGTTCCCAGGAAGGACGAGGGGAAGAGGGCGGAGGGGGGGGGGGGGGGGGGGCATGGAGGCGGTGGTGGTGATGGTGGTGTGTGTTCCTGGGGCCCGCAGCTCAGGGTCTCCGGGGGCCGCCCTGCGGGCGGCGGCAGAACGCACCCGGAGGGCTGGCCAGGGCGGCCTCTCCATGGGGAACGAAAGGGCCCCGGCGGCCGTCCCGACGGGGCCCCCGGGGCCTCTCCGGGGGTCCCTCCCCGATGCGTCAGAAGTCCGACCTGCGTTCCTCGGGGCCTCCCAGGTGGGGAGTCGCGCCGCATCGCCGAGGCAGCGGCGATGTGGCTCGATGCGGAGCCAGGACTTCTCCGCGCCGAGGCATCGCCGACGTCGCCGATGTATCGCCGATGCGTCTACTGGGGCCCCATCCAGGAGGCCCCGGAGTCCCTCGGATCCAGGCGCTGCGTTTCTGTCACAACGGGCGTTTCTCTCCGACCTCGGGCCCTCGGGCCCTCACAGGTCGCTCCGGCTCGGAGCACGACGCAGCAAGATGAGGTCCGGCGCTCTGGTGGTGAGGTTTTGCGATGCTGCGTCTTCTGGGTGGCGTGAGATCTGAAGTTCGGTCGTGGCCACGGAGGCCCTGCAGGAGGCCTCGCGAGGGCAAGAGCGTAGAGATCTTCGGCCATCCGATCCCCTGGCATCGCTCGGACGTGTGCATTTTCCCCCAGCGAGGGCAATCGAGGAGCTTTTTGGGGCAATCGTGCGAACACATACACGCACGAAGCCGAAACACGCACGGGGAACGTATGTCCGTGCGATGGCGAGATCTTGAGATCTTGAGAAGAGCTCTCCCCCCCCCCTCACCCTGCGCCCCGGCAAAAGTCCGCTCGCATAGCCGGTTCCCAGACCCCTGTCGCGGGGTCCCTCCTGGCCGGTTCTCGGAGCTGGGCCCCGACGTGGCCCCGAGAGCGTCGTTCTTCTTCGCCTCGAACCTCGATCCCAGCCGCCAGGAACCGCAGGGAGGCTCTAATAATGCCAAAGTCTGGGGGGGGAGCGCAAACATGAGTACAAACACACACATAAGCGTCGCTTGTCAGGTAGACATTGTCACATATGGGAGTTGAAGGGTCAGAAGGAAGTCCAGGATATATGGACCATGTTGGTACTTCTTTCGTGTTTGACGATTTGTGCTCGTCTCCCTGGGCCCTTGTTCAAAACGTGGGAGCCCTTGGATCCTCGCCAGAGGGCCCCCCCCCCTCAGCCCGGCCCGCCCCCCCTCTTGCAACGTCTCGCGACGCCGGACAAAGGTCCCTCCCGGGGCCCTCTCCTGGAGCGCTCGAGCTGCACCCCGCCGTGGCCACGAGGGCGCCCCCCGGAGGCCCAGGAAGAGCCAGCACGGACACTGCGAGGCCCCTCCTCGGCCCCTGGGCCGTCGACCCTCGACGCCCCCCAGCCTTCCACGAGGGCCCCTGCGCTCGAGGCTTCGGGGCGCCTTCCGAGGTGCCTCGCGTCGCCCCTCCTCGGGGAGCGGCTGCGGCCACGAGGTGCGGGCCGATGCTCGGCGCGAGCGTGCAGGAGCAGGATTCGTCGGGAGGTGCGCCTGCAGCAGCGAGCGAGGACGGGGGGGGGGACGAGGGATTGCAAAAAAACCAAGGATTGCAAAAAAACCAAGGATTACAAAAAAAAACCAGGGTTTTTTTGCAATCCTTCGTTCAAGGTTTTTTTTGCAATCCTAGGTTTTTTTGCAATCCTTCGTGCCTGCGACGTCTCGGCACGTGGGCTCTTGAATTCTGCGGCCGGCTTCCAACCCCGCCTGCCCCTGCGGGTCCAATCGACGCGGGGGTGTCCGACACCTCCGCTGGAGTTCGCTTGGCCGCAGACATCCTCCGAACCCCTGGCCCGCTTTGCACAAGTCCGACCTGCAGGGGTAGGGTTCCCATGCGGTTGCTCGTGAAACCTCCTTGGGGGAGAGGCACGGGGGGGATGCACCGATCTCGAATGCATCGGTTGTATCAGGGCGATGCGTGGACGAAGTATAGACGATGCATGAGGCGGCCTGCATCGACAATGTACAAACGATGCATGGGCGATGTGTCGGCCTTTCGAGGTGGATGCCCCCTCCCCTTGCGCCCATCTCCCCACATCGTTGGCCCTCATCTCCTCGGCCCTCGATCATCGATGCCCTCGTCGCCCCATGTGTCGTCTGTACATCGTCGATACGTCGCCCTGATGTCAACGGTGCATCGATGATGTATCAACCATTCGAGGTCGATGCATCCCCCCACGCCTATCCCCCTATATCGTTGCCCCTCATCTCCTCGACCCTCGAGCGTCGATGCTCCATGCTCCCCGCCTGCGCAACGCCGGCTTCGTCACTGCTCGCGGGCACGCCTCCGCCTCGGGCAGCAGGCGCTGCGGTATGTTTTTTTTTGCGCTACTAGACCACGCCACTCCTGCGAGCGTTTTCTGCCCTGAGCATTTTCCCCCCAGGCACGGGGCGCCCGTCGCGAGCAGCTGTCTGGCCTGAGGCAAAAAGAAAGGGGGGGAGGTAAGTTTCAGCATTGCAGCGGCCTGCTCGCCATCCTGCTGAAGACGATCACCCCGAGAACCACCAGGGGGGGGGATACGCTTGCAGCTGCCGTCGCCCTCCCCAGCGAAGGGAGGCCCGGCCCTGAGCCCCCGGCGGCCCAGCCGGCCCTGAGCCCCCGGCGAAGAAGGGGGGTGGGGGAGGGAGGAGGGGGGGAGCAAGAGGAGGCGGGCTCGGCAGGGGAGGAACAAACGGCAGAAACACAGACTTTCTGATACGACAGGTACGGCAGCTTTTTTGCTGTCGACACTGGACCCCCCTCCCTGGCGTGCGGAGCGCGCCAGGAGCAGCGCCAGACGCGCCGCCAGGGAGGGGGCTCCAGCGCCGACAGCAGAAATGCGCGCGGACCTCCGAAAGTTAATGCTTATGTATATATTTTTCTTCTGCTAAGTCCACCTCTTGCTCCCGCTCTTCTCTCCTTCCCTCCCCCCCGATCGTTCAGGACGTTTCCGGATGTTTTCTAGTTGTCTCCCCTCCGCCTTCCGGTGGCCTCCCGGGACCATTGAGGACCTTTCAGGACCTCCAGACATTTTCGCCTCTCATCGTCCTCCTTTTCGGTTGCAACTTCAGGGAGGTTAAATTCAACATCGGCGCTGGTTTTACCGCGTTCGAAAGCCGTCCTACTCTGTCCCAGTCTCGCTTCATCCTGCTTGATCTTGGGTTGAACCTTGCGCGACCCGGCTCAATGGCCCCTTCATCTGGCTAATCGACCCCCAGCCATTGCCAGGACAACCTCCCAGGAGTTGCTTCCTAACTCCTGTTCCTTCCTTCCGCCTGGCCCCTCCAAGGAGGCGGCATTTGGGGGAAGGATGGTGCAAGAGGGTGGGCAGTGAAGGGGCCCTCGCTAAAGTTCAAGGAGCTGGCCCCAAGTGCTAGGTCGAATTCGGCCCGAGGTCGTAAAGATTTAGCGAGAGTGAGCCGCCGATTTCGGTGGCCGGTTCTGTTGGGAGGTTCTTCACACGGCTCCCGCCGTCATACGGATCCGGCCCAGTTTCTTGATGTGTGGCCGGCCGTGGGGTTCTGACGGTTCGAAGCATCCCGGGTTCCGAGCTTGTGGCCCAGCCTATGGGGGCGGCCATGAGGGGTGTGAGGAGGGGGGGGGGGAGTATCTTGGCCAGGGCCCCAGGGTATCTCCCCGGATTTCATGGCCCTCTCTTCTCATTTCAGCATGTCCGCTGGTCCCCCCCCCCTCGTCCGCGCACGGGCCCCGGGCCATGGTCTGCGAGCCCCCCTCTTGGACTTGGTGGCGC